TTTTTTTTTTTTTTTTTTTCTCGGTGTTTCCTTTTTTTTCCCCGATTGGAGTGCAATGGCACAAACTCGGCTCACCGCAACCTCCGCCTCCTGGGTTTAAGCAATTCTTCTGCCTCAGCCTCCCGAGTAGCTGGGACTACAGGCACGCACCACCATGCGCAGCTAATTTTTGTATTTTTAATAAAGACGGGGTTTCACCTTGTTGACCAGGATGGTCTCGATCTCTTGACCTCATGATCCACCCGCCTCGGCTTCCCAAAGTGCTGGGATTATAGGCGTGAGCCACCGTGACCAGCCAGAAAAAGATTTTTTTTTAAATAAAAAAGATGGTAAGAACAAAAAACCTCAGCCTCTGTGGTGCACGCATAGTTACTCAGGAGGCTTAGGTGGGAGGATAGCCAGGAGGTGGAGGTTGCAGTTGTGCTACCGTACAATCTCTTGATCTCTTGTGTGGTAGAGCCAGACCCTGTCGCAAAAAAAAAAAAAAAAAAAAAAAAAAAGGTGACAGAACAGGACTAAGCCTCAGTGAGCCAGACTGGGGAGCTGATCATCAGTCAAATCTTTTCAAAAAGGTCAAATTCACTTATCTAGAGAGAAAGGGGCCCTGCTGCCTAGCTGAGAAAGCAGAGCTGGGCCTCCTCACCAGATAAGCCATCTTGGTATGGTGATGCCCAGAAACTGGTAGAGGCAACCATGGCTCCAGCAGCAGAAACGCTTTCAGGCAACAGGCTGAGCCACCCTTCCAGCATCCCAACACACACCTGGCCAGGCACAGTGGCTGGCACCTATAATCGCAGCATTGTGGGAGCCTGAGTTGGATGCCAGCCTGGGCAACAAAGCGAGACGCCCTGTCTCTACAAAAAACATATAAGCGGCCAGGCACGGTGGCTCACTCCTGTAATCCCAGCACTTTGGGAGGCTGAAGTGGGCAGATCACAAGGTCAGGAGTTCAAGACCAGCCTGGCCAATATGGGGAAACCCTGTTTCTACTAAAAATACAAAATTAGCTGGGTGTGGTAGTGCCCACCTGTAGTCCCAGCTACTTGGGAGGTTGAGGCAGGAGAATCACTTGAACCCGGGAGGTGGAGGTGGCAGTGAGCTGAGATTGTGCCATTGCACTCCAACCTGAGCAACAGAGTGAGACTCCGTCTCTAAATAAATATATAAATAAATAAATAAGCTGGGCACCTCGGCCAAACAGGCCCGTGATGCCAGGGCACTGCCACTGCATGATTCCAGGAGTCACGTTCACATAGACTAGATGGTGCCTCCTCGAGTTATCTGCAAACAATGGGGCCGTTAACCCCATACTCTGCCAGCCTCACAAACCTGGCCCTTATTTCAGTGCTAGTCATAACCTGCAGAATTCAGGCCAGGTTCTGCAATAAAAGTGTTAGCTGGACTCCCCAAGCATCTGCCTCAGCCCAGGAGTCATTCACTCTGGGAGGAGAGCCGTACGCGACTACTGTCTAGCTCTATGACCTTAGGCTGACTGCAGATCTTACCTGACACAGAAGATGACAGCTTTCTTTCACAGGGGTGGCAAGAGGCATAAAGGAGTCAAAACACTTTCACAAAAGAGCACCTTCGGCTGGCCACAGTGGCTCACGCCTGCAATCCCAAGACTGTGAGGCTGAGGCAGGCAGATGACTTGAGGTCAGGAGTTCAAGACCAGCCTGGCCAACATGGCAAAGCCCCGTCTTTAATAAAAATACGAAAATTAGCTGGGTGGTGCACACATGTAGTCCCAACTTCTTAGGGGGCTGAGGCAGGAGAATTGCTTGAACCCAGAAGGTGGAGGTTGCAGTGAGCCAAGATCGTGCCACTGCACTCCATCACAGGCAACAGAGCAAGGCTTTCCCTCAAAAAAAAAAAAAAAAAAAAAATCACCCTGCAGAAAAGGGAG